CGAAGAAGTGTGCTGTGCTCCGGCACCACACTCTCTCCTGGCGAATATGTTCCTGAAAGGAACCGCCCGCTAGACACGAGACCCTTCGTGCGGCGATTGAATGAAAAAGGGATGCTGCGTCACGCCCTGGGGAGAATGAGGAATACTTCCGAAGAGTGCAGCCTTTATATCACGCTTCATTCGAGTTCGCAGAGCGGTGTATGTGGATGGGAGGCACCGCTTATGATGTGCAATGGCCGTCATAGGCATGTTTGCGGCGAGTGCCGCCTTGAGTGTGATTCGTGTGCCATCCCCCGTCGTGAAAACAGCATCGCTGAGCGAGTACATGTACTTCTGTGCGGTCATGCATGCTGCATTGAACTTAATTTCATCAGTTGTCGATATATTGCCGGATGCGAAACAATTACATTGATGATGTGTTCTCGTTTGTGATTTCTTTTGAAAGGATTGGCAAACCGGGACAAGGACAATCTCACTTTAGTGATATTCTTTAATTCCCTAGCCAAGAGGTGATATGTTCACCGTCGTTGCAAATGAAGTTTCCAGTTTGTGAAAATGTTCCTTTGGCGGGAAAATTTGTTTCGGCTTTGTGGCATGGAAAACGATTACACGAAAGAGTCATGTACCCTTTTTTTGCACGTGTTTTTCATGTCTCGGTGCATGTCTTATGAATTCCTTTGCTTGACATGAGAACCCATGTGGCATTCATTGGACCTGCAAGGTCTGGGCTCTAACGGCAAAACTCATTTCAAAAAGTTTGACTCACCCTCCCACCCTGGGGGGATGAGGCACCGCTTATGATGTGCAATGGCCATCATAGGCATGATGCTTCAACTTTTGAGTTCGCGGCAAGTGCCGCATCGAGTGCGATTTGTGTGCCATCCCCGGTCACGCATGCTGGATTGAACTTATTTTCATCAGTGGTCGATATATTGCCGGATGCGACATAATTACATATATGATGTTTTCTCTTTTGTAGTTCCTTTGAAAGGATTGGCAACCCGGGATAAATAAATAAATCAATAAATATATATATATATAAATAAGTAAGTATATATATATGATATAAATATTCAAAGTCTTGTTTTTCGATTTATTCTTGTTCATCTTCATCTTCATTTTCATGGTCATTGACTCGTTCATTCACGCGTTGTTCCCTTTTTGTTTACGTTTCTTAGTTTCGGTCCATGGTCCACGTTTCGTTTGATGTTTGATGTCTTTCTAGTCTTCATAGTTACTGCCATGTTTCGTGTCGGTTCCACTCATATCTATATTATATTTGCCTTCATGTTCCATTTCATCAATGTTTCGATCCTTGTGATTTCATCTCATTTCATGTTATTAGCGTGTTGGATGATTTCAGCAATTGTTCAGCATCCTCTTTTCATGTCTCGTTTACTGAGGGTGGTCTGTTTGGCCGACACACGGACCAACCCGTCAAGCGAGCAGATGGGAGGCGGGCCTTGCGTGCTATGCCACCAGCATGTGTTCACTTGCCGGTCGTAGATTTTTGGCCTATACGTACACGCGAAGCAACAAGCAGCCAGTTCCAGCAACACCAGCATGTTTCGAAGGACTTCGAAATACTCGTTGCGAGTCTTCCTGAACAGCAGCGCTGGCAAGGAGTTTGAGGCTTGCGCCTTCGCAATGTGACCTGTCGGGGCAGCGGCTTCATTGATTCATGACTCAGCATGATCACTTTGTACGGCCCACATTCGCTAATTGAAAACGAATATCAGGAAGCATGGGTCGAGCGACAAGATTCGCCCACTGGAAGCAGTAATGCACTTGCAGATGGCATGAACTGATGGCAGTTTGCTGCCAGGGTGGGCTGAGTGCCTTCCATGTTGCATTCCGACCAAAGCCAGTGGTCTTCGAGCCTGAGGAGCCGGTGTGTTTGTGCGTTTCAAGTCATCCTCAAGCCCCAGCACCGAATGATCCGTCTGTAATCGGTCACTAGAGCTCTCGGATTCTACTGATCACTTTCGCACGATGTGCAGGAAGGGTTGGCTCTTATCTATCCTCAGGGAGAGCCGTCGGCCCAGTCACGTCAGCAGAAGGTGCTAGCCACATGCTGCCGAGGTCATTTTGGCAGATTCACGTCAGCAGCATGTCATCGTTCAGATGAGCATTCGACCGGGTTTGAAAATGAGCAAAGAGCCGTCGGCTGAGAGCAAGTTGAGTATTCATTGTCAGGGCAGTAGCTCAAAAACTGCCGGCAGACTCAGAAGGATCAGATTATCTGTCCTGCACTGTCAGGGCAGTAGACTTTCCGAGGACCGTTCCAAGATCTAGGAAAGTTCCAGACGTTCCAGTCCCACAGGCCGACAAAATCAACGTGGAAACATGAACACGACCACGGCCAGCAGCAGCGGTCTACGCAGCAGTTGAAAGCAGGGCAGCACCCTGCAGAGGAAGCCGTGACGCGTGAACTACGCATGAGCCGCCACTTGTGGCAATTGCTCGGGAACCTTGTTGTCGTGAGGTACTGCCAGGTACAAGAAGAAATGGAGGTCCACAACGGAAAGAAGTGACCTATTGTCTTTGGGCATATCACGTCACTGTATCTTGTTATGGCATAGCATCTGCAGAGTTGATAGTACTTCAATCCACCATTGAGTCAGATGCTGGGGTCACCAGACTGCGAACTTTGTAGATGATGCAGCTGCGCAGCAGGACTTTTGACAATTTCGCCCGAGCTCTGCAGTTGGAGGTGTGGGTGGGTGGCACGATGCTGGGAGTCCGCACGTTTGGATGGCACGCGGCTCTGGGGCTGGGGGTGGAACGTGGCTCTGGAGCTGGGGGCCCGCGGGTTTGGATGAATTTGCATGGGTGGAAGGCGGCTCTGGGGCTGGGGGAACGCGGCTCTGGAGGGCCGCGCACGTTTGGATGGAACGCGGCTTTGGATGGGTGGAAGGCGGCTCTGGAGCTCGGGAATTTGCTACTGGGAAGACGGTTTATCACCCTTTGCAAACCGCCCGGAAGATAATACTGGGCACACATTACTTAACCCATTATATGTCCCCAAAGGTGAATCGAGCTCCCTCTGAGTAGTTTTCCATTGGTTTCCTCCGCCACGAATATTGTCACAAGTTAGTATCCAATTTACTAAAAACTTGGGCGAAAAGCCAACACAAGCCTCAGAAGCCTTGTTGAAGCTGGCCTCAAGTTGGCTTCAGGGTGCCCTTCAGGCGCCGTCCCAGTACTGGGGATTCGAATTTTATCCCCAATTTTCCCCAATACTGAGAGGGTAGTTGAAACTAATTTGAGGCCGGCTTCAACAGGGCGTCAAAGATGATTCCCCTGTAATGGGACGGAAATTGAAGCAGAGGGGACTCGGGAATTATTGAGGAATCGTGTTGGGTCAGCCGCGCTGGTCACGCGATGCAGCCAGCAACATTTTTGTCCCCGGGCTGGCCCCAAGTCCCTTGGACGCAGTGCTTACCCCCTGGTCGACATCTGTGTGCCGAACGAGATTTAGGGATTGCCTCGAGCACAAGCGTTTGAACCCCATCGGAAACCTTTTAGAAGAAGCCCGATTCACCCTTTGGGGAATTACAACGACTTCATGTGTGGGAGGGAGGGCAATGCATAGCAGGGAGAGCTGAGAGAGTGGCTCCCTCCAAGAAATTGAACCGAAAGTAAGACGCAATAAGATGTTGTTCCGCTCACGTGCGATCTTCTTTATGATGTAGCTTGTTAACACAGCCAAGAGCGATTATCCCGATCCTGTTTGTAATTCCCCAACAGCATGAGATCTGGGGTCTATTGGGGCAAGGCCTGCGGGGCAGGGGACGGGTTCGGACAGGTTCCGGAAAATTTCGGTACCGGTTCGGGTTCCGGGCAGCAGGCTTCGAGTGGGTTCTCGGTGCAGGTTCGGCGAAGTTGCGGGTTCCAGGTTCGTAAGTTCCGGGGCATGGCAGTTCCGGGGCGGCTCCGGACAGGTTTCGCTCCTGGCAGGTCACGGGGGTGGGTTCAAAGCAGGTTCCGGTTCCGGGGCAGGTTCCCGGTTCTGCGCAGGTACGGGGGCCAGGTTCCGGGCAGAGGTTCCGGTCGAGGCTGGAGGTTCGTTCGAGTGAGTGGATTCTCGGGCAGGTCCGGTTTCTTCTCATTGCACCCAAGCTCCACATGTTTTCGCGAGCCTTGCAAATCGCACGCAAGTGCCAGCGAGTCTCGAACCTCTGATGTCTGCACAAGCTCCAGAATGCTGAACGCATTTGGCTTTCGTTTCAACAACTCAAGGCAGTCCTTAAACCCGAAAATCGTATTGAAAATGCTTTAGCTTGGTTTCCAGGACCCAAAAATGCATTTTTAAATGCTTGGAAAAACGTATTGTCCAGCTCCAACTCGTAGCTCGAGCTCCTGAAAGCTCCGACCAAGCCCAAATGCTTATTCCAGGGCCTGCTACACGCATTTGGCCTTCGTTTCAACAAATCTTAAGCTCAATGCCGTCCCTAAACCGAAAATCGTCCTGCAAATGCTGTAGTTTGGTTAAGGCTTGGACCGCACATTCAGAGCAAACCAATTAAAGAAGAATGACCAAGGCAAAATTCGTTTTCCAAGGCCTGCTGAACGCAGATGGCAGTGGTAACCATCTGGAGCTCAATGCCGTGCGTCCCTACACCACGAAACTCGCACCGAAAATGCCTCAATTTGGTTTCCAGGGCTCCAAAATGCATTTTGCAAGGCTTGGAAAAAACACACTCAGAGAATTTCCGCATTTGGCCTTCGTTTCAACAAATCTGGAGCTGAATGCCGTCCTGAAACCGAAAATGTGGACACTAATGCTAAATCGACATGCGCTCAGCGCAGCCGCTCTTTTCTCTGCACCGCCAGCTGTGGTTGCTGTCGCGTGTGGCTTGAGCCACCGAACGTTCGCAAGTCAGCAGCTTTCACATGTGGGCAATCAGTCAGACATGACCTACGGGAATTCGATTACAGTACCCCCCAATTAAGGTTGCCCACAAGGTAAAGTGCTGCTCTTGATACTCTCTCACTAGTCATGCTGCTGAAGCGGAATGACTCCGACGCTTGTTTCGCGAGTCTTGAGCTCGATGGTTGAGCTCCTCCCCTTCATCCACCAACGAGAGAAAGCCCGCCTTCAAGAAAGCCTCCATGGCCCCGTTCGCCTTGCCGGGGTCCATCTTGGTAAGTGAATCGACGACCATTTTCTGGTGAAGAACCCACCTCACCATGGATTTCGTTTGCTCAAGATCTCGGACAATGATCGCGAGTTCAAGGGAAGCTTTTCTGTCTTGACGGCCTTGGGGATGTTCTTTGAAAATGCAATCAAACAAGCTTTTAGCATCAGTAGCGGAACACTGTTTCTGGCGCTGGCTGAGCGCGCAAGAGCCACGCATCACGACCATGTGAGGGGACAAGGAGTAACGCCAATCCTTCAGCTGAACATCATGCTTGTATGCGTCCCGGTACATGATTTGCAGCCAATCAGTCTCGTTGATCCCCTGAAGCATGGCCTGCGTCTCTCCACCAAACGTGGAAAACACCTTCCTCTTCAGCTTCGAACTGCGCCAGGCAAGAGGACTAGCCTTGATTCTCTCGGTTCCAACCGGGAGAGACTCGGCCGCGAGCACGATCCACGCCCCCGGTGTGGCATCCGCAGGAAGCCCCTCATGGTCCACCTCTTCGTCCTTGGTGTTGATCCCTCCCGCATCGGAGATCGCCAGAAAAGACATCTGATCAGGATCAAATCGCCAAATCTTTAGCGGGCGACCATGAGTGTTGCGCAGGTGGTTGATGGACTTGTTGACCACGAGAACATCGGACACCGTCGCGTGGGGAAGCCGACTGGCCATAATCGACGCTAGGCCACAAAGTTCCGGCCTTGTTTCCTTCGCCACCCAATTGACTTTATAGATGGCCGAGCGAAGAGAACTGAACTCCTCGTCGGTGAGCGCCCCGCCATCCTTCCTTCTTCCCTTGGCAAGTGGAACCGGATGGACCTGCTCCAAGATGCACTTGCTCTGGTCAACGGAGATGTGATCTCCATGGCAAACGATGCGGCGTCCAGCGTACTCGGCAGCATCCTCTTCCCATTTGCCGAAGACGAACCTGTCACACAACTGCTTCTTCACCGATGCCTTGACGTCCTCATCGGCCGACACGATCAGATCGTCCACTTCGACGAGCACCTGTGCGATGTTTCTCCCGCCCTTGTCGTACTTCATGTACCAACATGGTTCTATCAAGTTTCTGACGTACCCCGACTGCAGGAGGAACCGGGTGATGGTTGCCCTCCATGCAGCCGGGGCGTCATCAAGCCCGTACACGGGCACGACAATCTCAATCAGAGCACCGGGCGGCAGAGGAAGCCCTTCACATGGATGGGCAAAGAGTGGGCCATTCGGCCGACGCAGTCTGTCCGATTGGCAGAACGCATTCTTTACATCGCAGAATGCGAAGCGATGCTTGAGGTTGGCACCAACCTGGAGGAACGTCATGATCGACTCGACCTGAGGTGTGGGAGCATATGTCACCAGGGATCCAGTATCTGGATCCCCATGCCCATGTAAACACCAGCGGGATTTCGCTTTCCATGCTCCGATTTCCTCCAAGGGCTTTCTACGCCGCACCATACGCGACGAGACTATGCGGTCGCCAAACTTTTCCCGGACGTAGTCCGCCTCCTTGCCGGTGATGACCCGGACCGCCTTGGTCTTCAAGATGCTATTCCACTCGAACTCGTCCGACTGGGAGAAGAGCTCCTTCTCCTTGGCGGTCCTTGAGGTTGATCTCGTCGTTCCTCTTCGCCAGAAACACGTCGTAGGAAAGAAGTTCCGCGCTAGAGTCGTCGCTCGGCTGTTCCGCTCTCCTGGGTGACCTCTCTCGATCTCGATGTCCAAGCTGCGGAGATGGCCGGGGAGAGAATGGTGCTGGACCGTCGCGGCGAACTAGCCTCATCAGTTGATCCACCGGTGTGCCGGGGGCCCGGGTAGCAGAGGCTGAGGCTGTCTGCTCGGAAGCCTCACTCTCACTGATGCGCGGAACTTTGCTTGCTGGCTCACTGGTTGTCTCGGCCTCTCCCGATGCCTCTTCCTCCACCGAAGGAAGTCGTAGAGCTGAGCTTTCTCGAGCTGGCTGCTGAGAACCCACCGTCTCTGGCTCAAGAGCCGGTTCCTCCACCGTCACCGATGACCTTCGATCCTCGGGTGCCGCTCAAATGCTCCAGGATTGGGCACAGGAAGAAGGCCATCTGGTATGGGACGAACTGCCCGTGGAGCTTGTGGTGGTTCCCCGTGAGCTGGTGGAGGTAGAGGTCCACTGAGAGGAATGCCGTCTTCTTCATGAGCAACTGGACGTAGCAGATCGTCTTCACCCGGAGGTCCTTCTCGAGTGACGTCCAGTGCTCGTGCTTGTCCTCCTGAGGAAACCTGTCGCAGAAGCTCCCCAAGTGATCCATCTGAGGACAGTTGATGTCCCAAGACTTCAGTCGGGAAGGCCACCCTGAGTTGCTCGGGGGCGCACCGCCATAACCTCGACCGCATCGCGACCCAGACGACCCCGCGTGAATTGAGCAGCACCAATCCTGGGCCTACCCATCGGGACTTAGGGGCCAATGGATCAGTAGGACGACCTCTCCGGAAGACGTACACCCATTGACCTGATCTCCATGCTGGTGTCTGGGAAGAGGAGGAACGTGTAGCCCTGACCAGTGCCTCCTTGCTGCACTGCTCCATGGCTGCCTGGCGCGCCTTCTCCCTGATCTGAACCCGCTTGCGGAACTCTGCTCCACATTCACCAAGACCTGACGGGTCGTGATAGGCATCGCAAAGTGGAACTAGCCCGCCTTGGTCTTCCGACAGAAGCTCTGCTGGAACTCGGGGAAGTTCTCCGAACACCAGCTGAACGGGAGTGTAGCCTCCCTGATTGAACCACCTGTTCTTTGCCGCAGTGATCGAAGCCAGGAACTCGTCCATCTCCTCAAGGCTGCTGAAAGAACACTGTCCGGAGTTCACTTTTCGTTGAAGACGCTCCTTCAGCCACCCGCCATGACGTTCTGACTTGGAATTCTGCCAGGAACACTCAGGAGCGGTAACATGTTGAAGAATCCCAAGTTGTTCAAGTCCTCGCTCAAACTGTCCACGAAACTCCGAGCCTCCATCACAGATGATCATCTGAGGGGCGCCAGTGAAGCGCACCCAAGTCGTGAGGAATGCCTGCCATGTGACTGTGGAGGTTGGAGTCCCATCACAGTTGCCATCAAGTCGTTGAACTACTTGAGAATTCGTGCCCGAGCAGACCATATTCAGAACAGGAACGGAAGCATTCTGGAAGCGGACATAGAAGGTGTCTATGGAGACGACCCGGTTGAATGTAAACAGACGTGGACACTGGGCCTTCCGTCGCGGGATTGGACTTCACAGTCTTGGCAATGAAACTGATCTCGCACATAGCGCAGGATATGTGGCAGGGCACCCGCGGCTTTCAGCGTCCTGAGGAATCTGTCGACAGGTGGGTGTCCACAATTGTTGTGGAGCTTTCTGACCAGTGACGCCTGAGCCTCCGAGACCACCGGCTCAGCGGTGGAGGGAGACTGCCGAAGTTGTCGTAGCGCCGATGGCTGTCTTTGCTCCAGACGGCTCGTCTGCTGCTCGTCATTCTCCTCCTGGTCCTCGTCCTCGCTGGAAGTGACCTGGGCATAGACTGGAAGTGGCTCTCGCGAAGTTCCGGTTGAGTCGAGAACGAGGGCCTGCGTGGTGAGGTGATCACACCCTCCTTGCGTCTGGTATCCTCGAACATCAAAGCCAAATCCACGAAGTTCTCTGCGGTGGGTTGAACTCAACCGTTTCGCGAACCGTGCCAGATATGCCACGATGGACCAACGCTCTCCCTGCCAAGGTTCGGGACCATGAAACTTGCGCGGGGAAAATCCCAGCACTTGCTGTTGTGGAGAGTGTAGCCGCCCCGGGATCCATTTTCCGGGTGCCACCTGTCGAACGTCTGGGCCCCCTTCTTCTACCCACACTTGACCTCCAGTGAAGTCACCCAAGTTGATGACATAGTTGAGGCCAACGTTGTGAACATCTCTGTGATAGGCAAGGCGTGCTCCAGACGCCACCGCAAACGATGATCTTGGTCCATAAGCTCCATGTCTGGTGAGGACCTCGTTGATATACTTCGAGAACTGAACACTGCGATGTGTCCGGGAAGTGATGCCGGACATGCCGCCATGAGTGTATTGTCCATACACGTCGTACTTGAGCACCCCACTCTGAGCCAGGCTTTCCTTCCGGGACTTGTGGCGACGGCCCTGTTGCACACTCCTCAGCAGTCGAAGACACGCCTGCCGAGAGAAATCGCGTTGCTTGAGGAGGGTCCGAGCAAGTTGCTCTGAGTCAAGAAGATCAGTTCTCGATTCTAAGTTGTAGCTATGAAAAACCTCGCCCTCCTCGGAGACTTCCACAGGGTCTCGAAGTACTTCTGTTCACGCAAAACACTTGCACCGACTTGTCCTGAGAGGCAAGATCATTCCAGCGAGACGTCTTCCAGACCTGAGAATCAGGGCTGGCTCGTAGACAGAAAGACCCACCTGTCTCAACCTGATTGGTGACGGCCTCCAGGATGAAGTCGGCCTCGATCTTCGCCCGCACCTCTTCTTCACCTTGCCCGCCGGCTGTTTCTCGTGAGCCAACGGCCAAGAAGGATGGTCGACATCGTGCATGGAACTCTCGGAAACGTCTGCGATGCTCCTTGCGGAAGACATCCCACCCAGACTCCTCGGTGAGGCGCTCATGTGCCGGAGGAATCCTTAGTCCTGCAAGACGTGCAGCGTCCAAAGATGGAGTTGAGGTGATGAGCTCAGCAAAGTCATACTCAGCCTGACGGGCTAGACGCCTGCCTTGGCGCAGGTGCGTCAGAAGAGACCACCTGATTCCTCTCTCATCATCCTCACGCACGCGGGCTTCTGGAACTTCAGCTCGTTCGTCACGAACCCAGTCGTCAAGTGTTGGGGCAGAAACCAACCAAAAAGGACCGGAAGAGCAGCCCAGCCCATGTCCAGAGAACCCGATCACTGGCTTCTCGGCTTCACGATGTGTCTCCAGTAGACGAAGATGCCGAGGTAGAACCCAAACTCGTTCTCGAGCTCGCCGAGGAGGGTCTTCACGATGATCACCAGGAGGGGGTCCTGGCCCTCGGAGAAGGACTTGACCGAGGTCATTCGTCACCAAGCCGGAACACCTTGTTGTGGTAGTTGCTCTCTCCGTTCCTCAGTCAACCGAGGAGCTCGTAGATGCTATCACTTGCCGCCTCGGATGTCCAGCCTTGTCCGGGTAGCAGAGGATGATGAACCACCCAGCTCCCAGGTCCTCCACCGTACGGTGCCAGCGCGTTCTTCCCGGCCTCTGAGAGATGCGCCCATGGAGTCCACTCAGCTGTCGAGGTTGGGATTGAGGAGGCTCGCGGCTGACCAACCGCCCGGGCTGTGGTCCTCGATGAGCTCCTCGTCCACGTCCACGTTCTCCTTCACCATGACCTGGACCGCCGAGGAGAGGTCGTTCAGGTTCATCTCGGACGCCGGGATCGCCTGGGCGTGAGTCATCATCTGCAGCATCTGACTTTGCCCTTGAGCCAGATCCCTCATTGCCGAACTCATCTGCTGGAACCCAACAGACATCGCCTGAATGGCCGTGGAGAGATCCAAGAGCCGGATTCACAGCCGCCTCCTCGTGAGAGCTCCTCGCCGGGGTGGTCCGATGAGCAACAGCAGGTGTTGTTCTCTCCTCGATGGGGTATCCCTCGCTCACCGTTGCTCTGCCACGGGCCTTGGCCTTCGACTTTGACGTCGCTCCCTTCCGTGAGGAGTAGGAGAGACGGGCCCCGCATGCCCGGCACACAGTCCAAGAAGCGTATTGGTTGCCTCGGTTCATCGTTGACTGGTGGAGGCAGGCTCCAGGGACTTGCCTTGAGCTCTCCAGGTAGGAGCGGCGGTCGCTCTTGATGCTCTTTTGGCCCCGCTCTGCCAAGATCAGCCGGCAGAACATCATTCGAGAGGTCTCCATGACAAAGAAGACCCTGCTCGTAAAGGCTTTCCATCTCGTCTCCGCCCGGGTCAGCGCTGGCCGGGACGAGCGATCCATGATTCAAACGAGGATCGTGATCGAATTGGGGTTGTGGCTTCTCCGAATGGTTGCCCATGGGGAGCGTTCCTGAGCCAAGATGCTGTTCAAGTGCACGGGAGCAATCATCAAGAGGTCCGGGGTCTTCAGGTGGGAAGGCTTGCAGTACAGAATGGTGAGCACATGCATGTCTGTCCACAGAAGTGCAAACGTGGAATGCGTCCTCAGCACCTGTCCTGCTCCCATTCTGTGCCATGACTGATTCACACGACGAACCGCTGTCTTTTGTGTATCGGGAGAGAGCCTTGCTGTCTCGATCAAAAGCATCGTCGGGCAAACTGTACTGCTGCTGCACTTCCTCGAAAACATGGAAATGTCCTCCGGACCACTGCACCAGGGGAATCGTTCGATGCCCGGATGCTTGAACTCCCATGCGGAGTCGAACACCAATGTTCTCAAAACAGATCTGGTTCGTCACTAGGTCAAAGGAAGCTCCTAGATGCTCTAGAAGACCTACCGACAAAAGTGGGGGCACGTTGCTCTGGATGACCAGGAAGTTGATGACACCAGGAGCTTAGCCGGGAGAAACGGGAACAAGAACTGATCGGACTACTTTTGTTGCTTGTCCTCCAATTCCAGTGGGGGCATTGGCCACCGTTGGAACCTCAATCGATCGCAATCCCGCAGCCTGGAGGGTCTTGCCGAGGGCCTCCATCGGGGGTAGTCCGATGATGTCCTGAGTGGCCCCGAGTGGCCGCGATGTCGAGGATGGCGTCGCCGGACTTAAACGTGAGAAAGTTCCAGTTCTCGTGATGGCGGGGTTCGGCAGGTCGCTCCTCTGTGCTCGCGCCATCCAGGAAGCTCACCTCCTTACGGCCCGCCATGAGCACCCAGCCCGCTCCACTGCCGGAGCTGGCTGATGGACCAAGATAACAGAAGCCCGTTGGACGTTGAGTGGTCACCGTCGCCGAGGATTGAGGACGGGAAAGATGACAATCTTCCGCCCAGTGGCCCTTCTTATTGCACAAACGCCACCTGGAAATCTTCTTCATCTGATCTCGCGTGAGCTTCCCTCGGCCCTGGCCCTTAGATCCACGAGGTCGTTGATCCCGAGCTCCAGGAAGACCGCCTCCGACGCCTCGGGGGTGATCTCCGACAACTCCCTTCACGAAGCTGCCCCGGTCCTTTTTCATCTCTGCCTTGTAGTTCTTGTCCTCCTTCCAGGTCCGCCTCTTCTTGTCGAAGCGGTTCTCGAGGATCGCGTACACGTAGTTGGCCTGGTCCTCGGTGAAGTTGAGCTCCTCGAGAGCGATGACGTCAGAGTCCTCAAAGTCCGCCTCCGACTCATCCTCAGAGGGCTCTTCCTCGCCCTGGCCAGGCTCCGCGAGGAAGATCTCCGGGGAATTTGCCTCCTCTTCATGTGTGACGAAGCCCGTGATGCGCTCGGTCCTGGCGTCCATGCGGGAGAGAAGCAGCGCCAGGTAGTCGATCCAGCTCTCGACCTCGGAGAAGCGTAGTGAGATTCTGCTGATTCTGCTCTGACAAGCCAGCTCCTTCACGAAGGAGAGACGCTCTAAGCTCTGCTGGAAGCTCCAAACCGAAACTCTCAGCCCGGGTGAAGTCACGCAGTCGCCTCATCGCAAACTGGGCCAGAGACTCATCCCTCTTCCGGCTCGTGTCCGTCAAGACAGACCGAAACGCAACTCTCTTTTCAGCGTCCTCCTGAACGCCGGCCTTCATCTCCATCACTTGCAAGATGAGGTTGAGATACTGGTCGGAGGTCAACTGGGCCTCGGTCAGATGCTCGAACTCCGTCTGAAGCTCCCAGCCGAGGGTCCTCAGCACTTTCTCGCTGCGCCTAAACATGGGGATGTCCGTCTGCTTATCCCAACGCTTGATGGCCTGTATCCACTGTCTGCGGTAACTCAATCCAGGCCACGGCGGTGGCTCGCTGTAGTCACCCTTGTAGTTGTAGCCGCCCTGGCCACCGGGAGACTGAGACCAGTTCCACGACGCCGTTGTGTTCTCCATTACTGCCACGGATCCACGGTGTTCGCCGGAGTCGAAGAGGACACTGCGACTCACCTGCCATCGCAGAGCTCGGCCCTGTAGAGGAACTGGCCGCCTCGTTCGCCGCATTCTCAAAGCCGGAGCCGTTGCTCCGCCAGTGCTGTTGTCCGTGCCGATCTCCGCTCCCATCCCGTGGAGGGGAGCTCGGCTGCGCCCCTGACTGGTCTCCCTCGGTCTGTACAGTCGCGTAGGAATGCCTCGGTGCCCAAGGCCACTGCTGGTTGTCCCAGCGATTTCCCCACCATCCAGACCAACGCCAGTCACTGAGATTCCACCAACTCGCACTGGATCGCCACCACTCGTCAGTGTCAACAGTCGGCTCGGCAGTAGTCGTCGAGGCCGGCTGAGCACTGTCGCCTTCAGCAATTGTGTCATGCGGAGAGGGCTCATGAAGCGCGGCCATATCGAATCAGGCTCCGCGCTTCCAACTGTGGACACTAATGCTAAAGCGACATGCACTCAGCGCAGCCGCTCTTTTCTCTGCACCGCCAGCTGTGGTTGCTGTCGTGTGTGGCTTGAGCCACCGAACGTTCGCAAGTCAGCAGCTTTCACATGTGGGCAATCAGTCAGACATGACCTACGGGAATTCGATTACAGAAAATCGTCCTGCAAATGCTATAGTTTGATTTCCAAGGCCCCAACAGGCATCTTTCAAGGCTTGGAAAGGTAAATAGAGTTGTTTCAGCTTTGCTGGTGTCCCCGAACCCAAATCGAGCTCCTGAAAGCTCCGACCAAGCCCAATTGCGCTTTTCAAGACCTGCTAAACGCATTTGGCACTGGTTTCAACCAATCTGGAGTTGAATGCCGTCCGTCACTACACAGCGAAATGTGGACCGAAAATGATTTTATTTGGTTTCCAAGGCTCCAATGGAAAACGCATTCAAAGCTGTTTCAGCTTTACTGGGGCCCTTGGCCCCACTCCCGAGGCTTCAATTGAGCCCTAGTGCCTAGTGCATTTTCCAGGGCCTGCTAAACGCATCTGGCCTTCGTTTCAAAATCTGGAGCCCCATGCCGTTCCTAAACCGAAGTTTCCGACCAAGCCCAAGTGCATTTTCCAATGCTTTAGACGCATTTGGCCAGCTTTTCAACAAATCTAGAGCTCAACGCCGTCCCTAAACCCGAAAACGTAGTGGTGAGATGTGGTTACAGGCGCGGCGAACATGCTTTAATTTGGTTTCTAAGCGGCGAAACTGGTTTTGGAACGGAGGTGGCTCAAATTTTGAAGCGACTTGAACCTGCAGCAATGGGCCGACAGCTGTTTGAGAGAAAACTAGTTAACTGGCTTTAGATGCAATACTGAATATTGTTAAGCCCTACAATTTTGAGGGATTGATCCATTGGCAGGACACCGTAACAAACCTTGTGCTGAAGCATGTGTCTCTCCTGTCTTTACGTCCAGACTGTTTGGGGTCTTCGCCGGCACAGATTTTTCAGCTGGCGGCCCCATGGCGGGCAAGTTAGAAGTCAGAGCCGCTGCGCTGTGCCGCCCCGTGCCGCGCCGTACCGCCCATACCGCTCCGACCGCACCGGGATGCCCCACCGCCCAGCGCCGCCTCTACCCTATGCCGCCCCATACTGCCCCGTGCGGTACGCGGTGACTTAACGTTTTTGTCTTGCGGCCAAAAATTCCAAAACCCATCAGACCCAGCTATTGAAGCAGGCGGGGTGGTACGGGGCGACCGGTCCGTACGGGGCACTACGGGTGTTGTACTGGGCGGTCCGGGGGTCTGGGTGGTTCTAACTTCCCTGGGTTAGTCCTAACTTGGCCTCCGCGCTTGAAATTTCCAGCAAAAATAATTCTAACTTGCCATCCGAGAGTGTATGTGATCTCGTCATCGACATCTTTTGTATCTGAATCAGCTGAACAAATACTTCCCGCTCTACAGCGAAAGTGCAGTCAGCAGAAGATATCGTTGAAGCCATGACATGCATCGATCACAGGTACGTTCTGCGGGCAGACATTCTATTCTGCAGGCCGCATGCTGAAATTCTGGAGCTGTTGTGTTCCGCGCATGATGCCAAGACTCAGACAGCGAAAGAGGCACGATGCAAGGCAATGCAAGGGAAGTATTTTGCTGGCCTGGTTCACCTTCACCGGTGCACAACAGAAAAACGGAGTTGATTGCAGTTGGTGAGCACACTTCATGAGTGGCTATACTTCGAAAACTTAATAGGGCCATTCGGCTGTCCGGTATTCAAGTTCTCGTGGAGGATTTGAAAGTCGATAGGTGGCTGGTCCGAATACTGACCGAGACTGCTCCACCTACAGCGGTAGGCCGATTGTGATGTGTCGATTCTTTGTCGTATCTTTCCTTCTAGCTTGCTCGCAACTGATGTCCAAGGCAAGAAGATCTTGTCTCGCGCCATTTGCCGTTTCACCACCCATCACCTTCTTGCGGCTAATGGATTGGAGCTTGCACAAATGTACACCCGCTTGCTTCAATATTTCAGATGGCAGGAATTTGCGTGTGGGCTGTGTCCATTGTCGCAATCCGTGAAGTCAGTTTCACTCAGACGAGGCCCCAAAATATGCAGGGCTTCCAAGCGCGTGCGTGAAACCTGTGTAGCAAAGGCGAGCACAACGAACGAAGCGCTGTAAAACCATTCCACTTGTTGAGCCTAAGCGGAGGTTGTTGCGGACACGATGCACGTCGGATAGTTTTTGTCACAACTTCTTTCAAGACGGCTTCTGCAAACATGCTGCCAAAGCCATCCAAAGCCGACAACAGTTTAGGACTTTTTTTTTGCGAAGCTTGGCTGGGTAAAGCAGTGGAATGTACTTGTAGCAGCTGCAGCGTGCGTTACTCGTGGATCTGTTCTCCGATGGAAAGTGTCCCCGCAAATTCGCGGACTCTGCTGCTGTCACATGGCTGGCATGTGGCAGCATCGCCACTGTCGCCCACCCGTGCTGCACAAAGAGGCCGAAGCTGGATTGCATGACGGCAGTGTAAGTGCATCGAGTTGCATAGAGTGGGCAGAGGGGTTTCGGATTATGGGGGTGAGGCGAGGTCGTTTCATTGGGTAGGTTCTGGGTCGGTGCTTACAATCATGTGACGTGAAAGTTCAAGGTACTTCAGCATCTGGTATTGCCACAACCAGCCACAAAAGTAGCGATGCAGTATCGAGCACACTATTTTCCGCGTTGCTTTTGTGGATGTTCCGCCAGTGCCACACAGTGGTATTCTCGTGATTAATCTGCGCTCTCTTTAGTTTTTGATTTCAGTTGAGTTTCTTTTGTTTTTTCCGCGAGGGGGAGTTTAGCCTTTGTTTTTCGGGTTTTGGTCGCGGCATTTGGGCTTGTGCTCATCTTGTGGTGGGGGGGTTGGGTTGAAAGATTGATTTAGAGCTCGCGCTTGTATGAAATTTGGCGATGGGGGTTGGGGTTCGGGGTTCGGGAGTTGGCATTCGGGGATTTTTGGTTGGGTTGGGTTTTTGAACTGGGGTCAGTTAGTCACGTTCGGTGGGTTGCTGGGTGGATGTGCTTGATCTTGGCGTTGACGGGCTTGTGGTGCTTGGTTTTGATGTATCAGCCAGAGGTTGGGTCGTTTGGTTTGGAAGGAGTTCACGTTTGGGGGTTGGTGAAGTGCTTGTTTTGTGAAATTTTCCCTGGTGTTGTTGAGAGTTTGTTTTGGGCAATAAAGCATATGCCAGAGTCAGAATGAGCCAAGACTTCCAAGGATGAAAAGCAAAATAGCCCACCCCAGACCAGGCTCGGGATGATGGTTTGCACCACGCGCGCGCGCGACACGCATGTGCGCCAGGGCTGGAGAGCAAAAGTTAGCAATGTCAAGATCGTGACACAAATTTCGGCGAAACTCGCAGCTACTCGCAGCTTCACTGTGCCAGCGAGACTTCGCAGCCTCGTAAGGGCCAGTCGCGGCATTGCTTCTTCGCGGCGCCAGTCATGTTGACAGCCTCTTTTTCCAACCGTCGTGGATTTGGGAACAGTTTCGGTTGTTTGAAGGGTTCTGTGCATTGGGGACCTTTAACTGAAAATTAGTTGTTCGTCCACAGGCTCACTCACCTTCTTCACTTCGTGCCCCGCTGCTGTAGTTACCTGGTTCGCGCCTCGTTTGCAGTTTAATTGCAAAAATGCAAATGTCGTATCTAGTCACCTAGTCCCGCCGGCAGAGTCTTCGAATCTTGAGGGTCTGTCGCTTGCACATGGCTTCAGCATCTTCGATGCATTCAACACTAATTAATGGCTGCATCGGTGGCAGTGGTGTCAAATGTAGGGTTTCGGCTCGGGCAGAGGGCATTTCTCCGCTGAAGATACCGGAACATGAACGTAATGTGGCTTCTGGTTGACAGCATGCCTGTTTTCGCAACAGTCGGTCGCCGTAAGAGATAGCTGAGGTTGGCATAGGTACCCTGCAGCACGTTCTGCGGAGGCGCTGAATCCAAAGCATTGGAGACATTCCAATCCAACTTCCAAAGGGTGCAACGGCCGACTAGTTGTGACTCTCGACCTGTCACGGAGGCGAGCTCAAAGAACAGCAGCTGGTGCCTGATCTTAGTGTCAGAGGTCCGGTTTTGCTGATGCATGGTCTCTGTTTGGAGGAACCGTTCCCATACACAAGAGGCCCCTGCATGCCTGCCAAAGGTTGTCCGACATGTTGCAGCTTGTTGCATTCGCTGCTAAGTTTGCGCATGCAAATTCGTAGTAAGGCGACGAGTGGAAGCAAAAACACTTGGCCGGGCGCTTGCTGATGACCTCTTTGATTGCCAGTAGCTGTAAGATATCGTGAAATTGTGACCCAGGCCATAGAACTCTCTGGGCTGCCGAGCCACCCGTCGAAGAATGTCAAGTTGGAGCAGCAACTTGGACAAAGACTCGGAATTTCCGAAGCCCAAAGCACAATGCCCGTGAGCCCGGTCGTGGTCATGCACGCCTGCTGCTCCATGTGTTTTAAACCTGGAAACCTTATGGCCGTTCGTGCTCTGGCCCAGAAATCACAGCAAAGCCGGCTTCCCTGGCCACTGTGCTGCAGCTTCCATTTCGTCTGATCGTTTCTGCTCCGATCCGACAGCCTCCGCTATCTTCTGCAGGTGCAGTCTGCAGCTTCCGTAGGTTCTCTCCGGCATCAGGAGACATCTCAAATCCGCAATGGCATGTCGTACACTTCAATGAAAAAGGACTGGTGTAACGCTACGGTGCACTTCCGGCTGCCTTCCACAAGCACTTTGCAAACAGAAGTGCTCTCTCCACTCTCACTCTTCCCGCCTTGTCCACTGCTGCTTCGTTCTAAGAGTCTGTGATGAGAGGCCAGCGTGCTTACACCTGACGTTCCACTACCACGCTGAACAAAACCTGAGGTATGCGACTGACGGAGATATCGCAGCGCGATGGCTGCTGGGGATCAATGCCCAGGATGGAGACTCGTTAAGTCGATTTTGATATGTTGGTGTAGACATGAATAGGCGCAGAACGAACTGGCTGGCGCAAAAGCAAGCGGACACTGAATTGCTGCTTTCAGGATCCATTTGCCAACATGGAACAGGCTCGTGGCTAATGACAATGGGACCTTCTTTTGGGGACTCCAGTTAATTGGCAAACATCTTGACCAAATCAGCCAGTCTTCGTCGCTAGATCCTCGGGAGAAGATTTGCGAGGATAGGTGAATCGCTGATCGAATCAGGACTCGTCCTGTTGCAAGTGCTGCCACTATTCCCTGAGGGTATAGTGGATCTTGGTGCTGGAAATGGCATACTGGGCATCGGGGCGCTGCTTCTCGGTGCCCCACGCGCTGTCTTCGTAGAGGCACAAGGTTGCTTGGGGAGGCTGCAGACGGAGCTGGGGGCAGGTTTGGTTGCCTTAATGTTAGTTTTGGTTATTTTGCTTGTATCAGGTGGATCCTGTGGCAGCTGATGCAATTGAAGAAGGCCTCGAGGTCCGACATCCCAGCATTTCAATCTGAAATTGGTGACGCATTAAGATAAGTATGCTTTGGTCTGTGCTTAGCTGGCAGATTCTGCTCTTGCTTTTTTAACGAGTCCAATGAGTGGAGACAATGACATCTTTCAGAGCACACCAGGACCGGGGGTGTGAAGCCAGGTTCATCAACTGCTTGCTGACGTGACCCCTCTCATGTCAGGCACAGAGCCTGTCAGCCCGCTCTCGTGTCTTGCGCTGCGATGTGGAGGAGGTGAGGAGGAATGGTGAGATGCTGCTAGCTGCTAGGTTGTCCTTCCTGCTCTGACTGACTCGTTGCCAGCACTTGAAAGGTGGTGGATGATCCAGACTGTGTTTGTGACCTTGTTCTCATGAACCCACCCTGGGGACAGCAGAGAAAGTCTGCAGACAGACCTTTCCTGCAGGCGAAGCAGGGCACATGTCGTTGCAAGAGAGCGGCTTTGCGCATGTGCCACCAGGCGGGGAAAAGGGGAAAAGAGTCTGAGAGACTCTGTGAAGGCCTCCATTGCATTGGCGAAGACTTCGGTGCACATGATGCACAGCTGGCGCCTCGGAGTCTGAGCCGAGACGGCCGCGACTCTGAGGTTTTCAGAATCTAGCGATTCATTTTTCATTCTCCACGAGGTGCTGGTGCAATGCACGTGGAGCCCTGGGCGCGAGACCATGGCTGGAGAGCGGTCAAGTGGCCAGAAGCCCAGCGATCTGTTTCAACTGTTACATGGTGACTAGCATGGCAGGGAGGTAGGCACGTCGTCTAGTCTGGTCCTGTCACCGTCCTATCCAGATGTTTAGGATAACATTGCTGTGATGATGTGCGTTACGGTCTCTCAGCACCAGCACCGTTTCCTTCGTCGTCCATCAGGGTGTTGGCTTTTTGGGGCTCCACCTATTACCTATAAGTTGTCGCTTCAACTGCTACATCTCCTGTCATGTGCCCACGCGCAAGATGGACAAGCAGGTGAAATTGCAGGATGGTTTGCTTCGAGCTGTGACGCAGTGAGAACATGATCTCGGTGTCGCGGTTGTCGGGTCTCTGGCTCGGCGTGATGTCCAGGAGCTCGAAGCAAGCCTCAATGTATTTGTGAAATTTGTGAAGGATGCTGCATGGGTCCCAGCTTCGAGCCATATCGGAGCCTTCAACATGCCTTTGGGTGTGGGCTGGGTTGCGGAATTCTGGCTTGAAACGTTTTGGGTCGGACTGGTCACCCTGACAAGTCAACCAGACCCGATCCAGATGCATTTTTCAGGCCTTGAAAATACATTGGGATTGGTTGCCATTAATTCGCGACTGCTAGCATGTTGGAGCCAGTCTGCTGTTGGGGATACTACATGGGTTTATGAGTTTTGAGTGATGTGCTCTCATGCTAAGTGATGTGCTCTCATGCGATACACTTAGGGAGTTGACGCGAAAAGGTGCATATTTTTGCTCCCACAACCGTTTGCAAGCGTTTGTGAGGCTTCGTAGGCACTCACAAAGGTCCGCATTGGCTCGAAAGTGTTCGCAGCGCCCACGGGCATGCTGGAAGGGGGCAGGTTAAGGGGCAGTTACACATGAGGGTGTGTTCGAGCATGTCGTGGGCAGGCGAAGGAGAAATTCCTCACAAGGCGTGTCCAGGCGTGTCGTTGAGGTGGGAATGTGCCAAGCCATCGGCACTGCACGGGATGCATCGGGGCGCGTAGCTCCTATCAGGTTCGATTCCTGTATCCGATGCCAGGCAGGTTCTGCTTCTTTTGGTCTTTGATTTTTCAGTACGTCAATGGTCGAGAGATGTAAACCTAAACGCATTCTTCTTTTTTGCTGCTGCTTACATCCTTCGCTGTTAGAATCAAGTTCGTATTCGTTCTCGCTTATTTTGGCTAGCAGACGTCCGAGTGTGGGCACAATTTCGTTATTGCGCCAGAGTACTTTTCCTCTTGCGGCAGCATCATTCCCTTTCATCTTTCTTATCAATGTCATTACCGATCGCATTGTTTCATTTTATTGCTATAAGGCTATAATAGTAATAACCGTTTTCACTGTTTTTGATATTCATGTTTTGATAGTCTTCGTCTTCATAAGATCGTTTTCTTTGCATGCTAAGCCCCTTGTGTTAATCATTGTTGAGTTTTGAGTCCTGGAATGTCTCGATGTCGATGTCATTCAGGCGGTCGACGAGCCGCGCATCCAAGACAAGACAGCATGAGCAAGACATCACTCAAGAAGAACACAAGACAGGCAACACAGGCGAGGGAAGTAAGAAGGGGAGATAACAAGCGGCATGCATTGTTTAGAAGGGACAGTCAATTCAGATGCAGCAAAACACACGACAGTCCAGTACACCAGTACAACACAGTTTCTATTGCTCGCACTGCGTGAGCATTAGTGATCTCAAGTGGCGACGTCACCTGGCTACCCTCATCGGCCGTGGAAAACTTTGCATGGAACACACTGAGCCAAGCTTCAGCGAAGATTGCCGTTGTTGAATTGCTTTGTGCTTCCGAGTTCCGGCCTCACAGCTCAGTGTTGCGAGGCTTGATGTGGAGTTTCCATTGCCGAGAAAATATGCGCATCAAAGTCGGCGCAGAGGCTCCGCTTCAACGTCTCAGGATTCGATTGCACCGTCGTCGTAGTAGTAGTAGTAGTAGTAGTAGTAGTATCATCCTCTGTAGTTGCAGAATATGCTGTAGATCGCATCGAACCAAGCAGCATAGGGTTTTTATGGCATGCGTTGCTATGTTCTTTTGTGCGTCCAGGCTTCACGTCGGCTGCCATGTGGCGAATCTGCCCGGAAATCTCGATGAGCAAGACTGAGAGCAAGTCGAGGAGAGTTCTGTCCGACGACCTGTTCTGACATCGGTTGCCAAAAGCGCGATGGAGTGGTGTGTGTTTAGCTGCGAGGTCTCGCCGACATGTTCAGTCGTGTGGTCGCAAGCAGAGGCAAAACCACTTCAGCTATTTGGCTGTTACCTGCAGCTGTTTGCATTCGTTCATGCCATGGCCGAGCCAGGCACTTCACGCACGAATTCCGCCAGTGGTAGGTCATTAGATTTGGCAGTTCAATGTTTTTGGATCTCGAAGGTGCAGAGAGCTGCTGGGAGCGGTTTCTGTCTGCACGGCGGAAACCAGGCTTGAAGGACAACGCGATGAGTGCACAAGCATTCGCGGCATCCGCTCTACAGGTGATCTGGCGGTACTGGGTGATTTGAACGAGAACCCCAGCGGACTGCTTGTGCCAGTGTGACGTGCACACTGACAGCCCCATGTGCGTCTCTGCATGCCTGGCTTGTCTGCCCCAGAGCACCGTTGACATCAACATGGCCTGCGATTTGAATTTGACCACCGGTGGCTTGCTTGGAGGCATGTTTCGTATTTTCTTATATTACCCGCAGGACTCCCGAGGCGCAGAGTGTCACAGTTCTCCGCTGAGATGTGTCAGCCTGGCACAATTTCTGGGAAGTACTGTCTGGCAGGGCAAACGAGTTCAGTTTGTGGGTAACTTGGTGCAGGTGGCCACTCTGTACGGGAAGTTCTCTCCTTAAGTCCGCCTCCGGCAGCGCGGTCGGATGCAAGGCCATGAGCATGCAATAAGCACTGACGCTCTGGTGCAGTGATACAGTTCCAAAGACGATGCTATTCACTTCACAGTTCAAACTACATGATTGGCCTGCTCAAGGGATTTCTGCTGTCAACCTCACCTTCTTTGCAAGCTTACAGCCTGGTACAGCAAAGTTTCGGATTCGGGAACAGCCCACAAGGTTATATCGTCCAAATGCCGTCGCATCCTCTGGTATGACCTCCAAGTGGTGGATGGCGGCATGAGGGTAGAGAAGTCGATTGAAGCTAGTCAGTGCACAAAACACAGAAGGCACAGTGTGCTCTGTGGGGATCGAAGTATCTCACAGCATGAGGCCCGATCCGCAGAGTGTAATGTGAGGAGCCCATTCAGGACCCCACCCCCGTCGCGGTTGTGCCGGTCGCGGGTTCGTCATCGTCTTGATACCGTGGCTCCCACTTTGGCGCGGTGCAGCATTGTGTGGCAAAATCGCGTACTTTCCACAGTTCCGCTCCTTCCCCATTCACCCGTCAAACGTATGCACTGCCTAATCCAAGGCTTTTGGTGGTGTCTCCCGCCACAGTCCCGGTCCCGTGGCCGTGTTGCTCTTCAAGTCATTCCAAGTGGTTGCACAGTCATGGCAGGACTTGATTATTCGGCTCCTAGGGTGTGGTCTCGAAAGTTTGGCAATTTTTAAAGTTGGCAACGGTGCTGCTGCATTGCCATGCATATCTCGGGGGAGCATTGCCAATCCTGATCCCGCCACAGTTCGAGGCGCATTTTGGACTCATGGGGTGGTCTTCAGAGCCTCAGGGTGCTCCTGGCATGGTTTTTGAGGTACCCCGGCATACTGTAATTTGGAGTTTATTTGCTTTACTAGGCTGTTGGGTCCGAACAAAGCCTGCATCGGTAGCGCAATTCAAACTACTCTTGCACTGAGAATGCCTGCTAGGTTGATGGACACCGCTGTTGGAAAGAAGCACCCCTACACCGATTTGATTTAATGCTCTCGTTGCCAATGTGCGTCGGTGTGCCCAGTGCGGGCTTCTTCCAATCTGGCTTCAAATTAGTTGGCGGGTCCTTGGAAATCATGTCGTAAACGATTACACACGCACCATCACGCACCCTTCAGTCGTGGTTCCCCCTGAATGTCTTCCTTTCCGCACGGAGCAGCGAACACTCCGGAATCGGCAACATCAAGCCCGGAAAGATCTCGAAACTGGCTTGTCGGATTGTTTGATTCCTGTCAGCCGAATTCGTCGTTCTTTACTCGATCACTCGTTGCCTGGAAGTCCCTGGCACGGGCCCGACAGGAAGCGTTCCAAGTTCCAGGTGCCGGAAGACGAGCTTTTTGTATAGTGTGGCAGCCCCAACTGCGAGTCTTACCGGAGGCATGCCGCGAGCCTCTCCCCAGTTCTTGGATTTGGAGAGCGTTCGTTATCTCCACGACTGCGAAGAGGTGGGGTCCTTAGGAAAGAGCAGGGCGCAAATTGGCAGAAGAGCTGTCAAGGAGGAACGGAAAGCGATAGTCAGCTCGCGGCTGATGATGCTGGTATGCCACGGCGTCGATTATCTGACGCCTGTTCAAAAATCCATTCAGAATGTCCAGCAGGTTTGTCTTGTGAAAGACGGAGATGCTTTTTTTCATGACGGCTGACGACGATGTATGTCTCGAGGAGTTTTCAGCCAGAATGCAGAGTGGCAGTGCTGTGGCTTAGCTTCACACACAGTTTCTTCTCGTGCTTTCGCAGAGTGCAGATGGTGTCTCTTTGCAGCTTGCAGTTTTGCGTGCTTCCATCGTCATCATGTCCTGCTTGCAAATGGTCAGTTTTCCATGAAGCCTTTGCGCTTTGTGAAGAGGTACGCGAGGCGCTTTCCCATAGCCCTGCACGGAAATTCCTCAGAGGATGCAGAGGCCTTGCAATTCAGTTTCTTTACCAATGGACGCATGAAGAGGCGCTGGCAGCCCAAAACCCTGAAGTTACAACTGGAGCCATACCAAATTTTCATGATGATTCATGGACTTGATCACCTTCTGTTGCGAGTGCATTTTCTGTCTGTGCTTCCCGAATTGCAGTTTCCTGCAGGAGAGAGGAGATTCAAGCACAGCCTTGCTCCGGCATCTGCGCGAGAATCCGTACTGAGCGGCTACGGGGAACGCCAGGCCGCAAAGGGTAGCCGCTGGTGCTGCGGGACTCTGAAAACTGAGCTGTAACTATCAGGAATCTGCGCGGCGCTTGCTGCAGGCACTCGGGGCATGCACGAAGTGGTTGTTATTGGCGGAGCGCAGAGCACGGGTGGTTTCGTGCTGGAGTGGCTTTGGAGGTGAGAGGAGAAAGCAAGGACTTTGCAGACAGAGGGAGATCCTCGAGCGGAATTCCCTGGCGCCAGCTTCCTCTCTATGATTGTCACGGCTTCTTTGACGAGCACGAAGGAAGGTTGTACAGGGATACGGCAGCACATGATTTATGACTACGGATGGCTATGTATGACTGTTGAAATGGAAAGGTTCCACATTTTCCACCAGTAGGTTCTGAAAGATCGGTCTACTCGCAGAAGTAAACGAACGAGTTCCAGGGACGCCGGACAACCGGTGCTCAGGCAGGTGCCCACCTAAATCACTGTGGCGACGAGAAACAGGCAGTTTTGCAATTTTGTCATCGCAAGCCTCCCTGCAGGCACTTCCGAAGGTCTGTTTCTTCGCTTTCACCTCAAGCTAGTGTCTGTTTCGGTTCAGCCTCATGTTTATTCCAGCATGACCATCGCGCTGTGGAGAGCTGAGAATCCAAAAATCTAAGGCCTGCTGCTTCAAACCGGGAGTTCCATCAAACCAGATCTAGCACTTCGAGCGCCTTCTGTCTTTTCCGAACGTTTACACAGCAGCGATGCTGTAAAGGACACCACAGTGTTGTCATTGTCGCCTATCGAGCTCCTATCGTTCTCATATTCGACTGTACGACATGTGTCTTGCTAGTTTCCGGCCAGGATTTGCTTTCTGGAGAGCACTGTCGGGGCCGCATGAGCCTGCAGAATTGGCAGCGAGAGGAATCTAGCAACTTTGTGGCATTTCCAGGAGCCATGTTAAGTTGGCCGAAGCAGCCGAAGCACCCCTGTCGGAATCGAGGACAGTCGCTGCACCGCAGAGACATTGCCCCAGCATTGACAGCAGCATCCAGAGCAAGTGGCCACGCAATGGAGACCGAGAGGTGCCCGTCACCAGGTACACAGAAGGATCCCGAGCACCCCCATCCCCTGTGCCCTGCCTGCTTGCAGGTCTCGCTGCCTCGCCAAGTTTGACCGGCAAGCTTGCTGAATGTTCGGTCATGTTTGCATAAGAGGGTCAGGACAAACCTCTGACATCTCAGCACACGCGGGATTCATCGTTGATCTCGGCGGCACTGGAGGAGATTGAGATAGCAAACACGATCGCACTGAGTTGCTCGTGAATAGGTCGCTTAGGACAGGGTCAGAAACTGAAGTTCTCGAATTATTATTGCCGAGTTGTTGAATGTGCGCTTGCTTGGAAGCGATGAGCTCAGGCTTTGTGCTCAAACTCCGCGTGCTGGGCGAGCAGGGCCTCGACCGGATGCAGTGGCCACTGCCGAGGATGTCAGACATCTGCACGGATCCTTGTCAAGTCGTACCCTGGTGGTGGGGTGATGTGTTGTTCCTGCGCCACTCGGCTAAGAATGTCAGACTACTGCGCTGCCGAGGAAAGAACAGAAGTGGACAGGAGCCTTTTGGCTGTTACAGGGCAAGATGCAAAGTTTCAGTGTGGGCATGTGCATGGTCCTTCCAGGCAGCCTTCTCAATGCATACAAGCTCCATCAGCATCGCCACGTTCGATGCCATCACCCGCAGTCCCAGCAGATTCTTGGATGGCCCACGTACTTGTGTGATGACAGCGCATTTGCGCGAGCCTTTGAGGGAACACAGCCGGGAAGTGTTCCGAATTGTCGAGTCGCTGAAGGATCCAGAGCCGCTCCGGTGTACGCAGCCGCAGAGTCGGTCGCGTCGCACGTATGCTTTCGAAGCAGATATGGCGATTTGTCAACGATTGGCATCGTTTTCCCTGTGTCACAGTATAGGAACTGACAATAGGTGTGCGAATCCGCGATGGTGCGAGGGTTCTGTTTTCTTCAGTTTCAGTCAGTTGACAGACGGTGGGCATTTCGACATCGCGCGGCATGCCCCGAAGCCTTTGCAAGGCAAAGATCTCGTTGGCGGCTGGGCGCCTTGCAACGGCAGCCTGCAGCGCATCCACAGCAACTCCGAGGCCGCGATACGTTTGGAAAGCGCACGAACCGAGGACCTTGGACATGTTGAAACCTGAGCAGACAAGATGGGGATTTGCGAGATCATCATCATCGTCACAATCACACCGAAATCGTGTTTATGTGTGACGAACACAACGGGGTGCAGCACCACTCTGGATGCTGAGCGACAAGTGTCAAAAAAGCCTGCGACCCCTGCTCAGTCTTTCACTGAGCAAGGGCAAGCACGGCCCTTGCAGTCAGAACCGCCACACCACCCTACAGCCCTCACCAGAACACTCACAAACGCCTGTAGCACCGCAGCGGGCAGGTGACAAAGAGACCCACAAGTGAACATGCGGCTCTCCAATCTCCAAGATCATGTTTCCCACCTTGGCCCCGAGTGCGATCCGCACATGCAATGGTTGCAGTCTTTGCGGCGGTAACGAAGTCGCGGTCTGCTGGCACTAGTGTCGTACAGTACGAAAAGTCGCTGCCTGAAGCTCCTTGCCTTCATCAGCGGTGCATAAACTCATCTTCGCCAAAGCTACAAGGAGGTCGTGATCTTGTCCATGATGCACATCATCCGTCCTGCGTTGTTTGGGCACCTGACCATGAATAGCCATCCAATTCATGGCTGGAGATTGCACTACGCATCTCGCAAGAAGAAAAAGCTTCACATCCAATCTGCGGTAACATGTTGCTGAAGGTCCAAAGTTGATGAACATTCAGAGTTACACTCGTTGCAAGCCAACGAATCAATAGGCAGTAAGGGCATATACAGGAAAAGTACTCCCTTTGTCCTGGCATCGCGGCCGATGTGGGGAAAGCCACATGGCACCATGAACACCGGCAGGCAAGATCAAGATGCAATGGCAACTACCAGGGGCATGCTAAAGCAACTCTTCGATTGCTTTGTGGCCCTTTTCACCCTACAATCGGGGTTGCGGTGGGATTGAGTTGGCAAGTCCGGCCAGAAATTAGTCGGTGGTTCTTGGCCCCTATAGTGCATATCAGATCGTTCTTTCTGTTCTCAGGGGCGCGCGGTTCCTCGGCTTCATTCCTCGCCAGAGGGAGAAGGTCCGGAGGGAGCCGGAGGCCAGCCTGTTGGTGTCCGGACAGTGATGCTTGGCACAACCCGAATCCATGGAGGTCTTGTGCGACACGAGCCTCGGATCACCGGCACATATGAACCAGAATTCTCAGGCGCCTCACTTGCTCATGGTGTCGTAGGGTGCAATACACTCATGGGGGTGGGCATGCCCAATCGCTTGAAAAGCACAAGGACATCACTTCGCTTGCGGCTGACAAAGTAACAGTGAACGAGTCGTTGAAACCTTTCGATGACAAGGCCGTGGTTGTGATTGCAGCAGATCTCCGGTTGCTTTGCCGGTCTGTGAGGTTGGCCAGGTTGTTGAATTCATCGACAAGATCATTGGTCACGGCCGAGGACCAAAGCCTCCCTGGAGAGATGAGCTTTAGTCTTGCGATGTTGGGGAAGGACAGCCGCCGTCACAGCCAGAGTCTGAAGGGCAGCTGACACCAACTCCGGACAAGAAGCAGGCAGGTCCGCCAACCGTGACCTGTAATCTCACCGGCTGCGCGCGCACTCGTCGAACACATCCCAAAACCTTTTCGTGTTGGAGGAACACTGTGGCTTGCCAACATGCCAGCACGAACCGTAGGTGCTGCGTGTTTGACTTTGGATGTGCTAGTCGGGAATGTCGACTGCATGCTTGGGCAGGACTTGCAACACTGCCAGTATTGTGATTACTCTTTCCTGACTTGTCATACTGGCGTTGTTGTATCGCTCTGTGTGTCTGTGTGCGCGTGTCGCAGTTTTGCTTGAGCACCAACAGGACCTTGGATGGTGTTGATGCAGCGCTGCTTTGGTTGCTTTCTCGTGGCGTTCTGGCTTCTCAGCTTTAGGCTCCTTCAGCTTTTTGCTTGCCGACTTGTTGGTGGCCCGGGTTCGTGCTTCGAAATCTACTGAACTCAACCATGTGTTTTAATGGAACGTAGACAAGAGTCGTTGCGAGAGATCATTCTACGGATTCTGCGGCACTGACACTGGGGATCAGAATCTACATGTGCATAGGCAGTCATGTCAGAGCTCTGTTGACCTGGTCTGCAGCTTTTTCTTGTTTTGTTTGCGTCGCACTACATCCCAGTGCTAGCAAGTGTGTGCGCGGAGCGTCGTCGTCCTTTTTCTGTCATTTGCTTGGCCCGTGCACGCAAAAGGGAATGAAGGAGTTGCAGGACCGCAGTTTCTGAAGATCTCATTTCATTAGACAACTTTCATGTGCCTGCTCCACGAGCTTACACGGCACGGCACGGAGGTGGGAGCAGGATCTCTCACCTGCTTTAGGTTTATTTACCGTTAGTAAGTTGACTGACGTAGAATGAACAAGGTTGCATTGCACGTGCGACAAGCTTCCAGCCATTCGAGCTGGAAGGCGCATAGACTCCATTGCTTTCTGAGATGCTAGCTGTGAGTATCTGTTTCAACTGGCGAGGATTGTTCTTTGCTTCGTCAGCATGCGAAGCGAGACAAGGCCACATTGGGAGTACGTGCAATTCCCAGGACCGGATCTACGATTGCATACCCAAGTTGCCCATTGAAATCGCAGCTGTGCTGAAGAAAAAACTCATCTGTCGCTGGGCTTGCTGTTGTCAGCTTGCTCCGCGAAGACAGGTTTAGGGTTGGTACCGCTGGTAGAACCTCGGAGTGTGTTTATTTGGAGGCTCCCCCCGAACCAGAGCCGGAAGTGGACGTCGGCGCACATGCAAAAGATGCAGCTGGAGAAGCAGATAATGCTGAGCAAGGTGTGATATACCCGGGAGCAGGTTTTTCAGAGGCTTCGTCGAACTTTGATTGGCACCGTCTTTGCTATTTGCAAGCCCAGGTCGCGCTGTATCCGCGACTCCTCACGTCAGCCCTGGAAGCTGAGAAGGCCACATTCGACAATCGCATGCTTGACAATATCTGATCCGAGTCCATCGCATACACGATTAGACGACATCTTTTTTTGCCTTTGTGGCTTTGGTTTGTCAGCCTTTCCCAGCTAACTCTGCGACTTCCAACAGAATGGCGCATCCGATTAGCCAACCGTCCAACTGTGCATACGTCTGCACCATTACATGAGTGGTGGATCTTGTCATGTCAGCCTGGGCGTGCAAGCTTCTGACTGGACGGATGCTCAGGCCTCCACTGCAACAGCATTGCGCCAGAAAGACCAGACGGTGCAGAAGGAAAGGGACATCGTGCCTGACAAGGCCAAATTCAAGTCCGCAGGGCTCACTTCATAAGCGTATCATCTGGACCGGTGCAGTTGCGAGGCACGCAGCAACAAGACGGCATCGAGCCAAACGCGAAAGAAGCAAGCTACTTGACTATATATTGGCGTACGACATGTTCTTTCGGTCTGTTTGGCATAAATGCTTTGAGAGGCCGCTGCTAGTCATGACGGGATATGTGGACATTTGCAGACTACTCAGGCGAAGTTTACTGCGCTGATGCAGCCAGACCTTGGCAAGCTGCGGGATAGGCGGAAGGCGGCGGAAGGAGCACCAGCCAGAGCAGGTCGGGTAGCCTAGACATGCCTAGTCTTTGTCTCAAGGGCCACTGCTCCAAAGAGAAGATGGCACATTGAATTGATGCGGCGGCATGCGGCGCTTGCTTTGGCCTTGTAAGTATTTCAAGCTGTTTCATCTGGGCCGCACGTCTCCGCCCATGCGTAGTTTTTGAACTCATTCGAGATTTCTACCATCCCTCCCTCAGCAGACCTGGCATGTTTTAACATATTCCGATGCCGTGTCCTTGAGGGGACTGGATTTGGTGGAAATGCAAGAGGCTGGAAGCTGGCAGTAGAGTCCACAAGAAAGACTCTCCCGCCGGTCTTGACTCAGAAGGCATACATCTTTGTTGTCAGATTTTCAGTCGGCTCATCTGTGTCGACCAATGAGAACAATGAGAACCGTGGCACTCGCGATGCTGCGGATGATGATGATGATGATGATGACGACGAGCCGGAGTGCCACGATAGTCTGTATTGCTGTTGCTGTTGATGAGGATGACCATTTTCTTGCTGATCATGTCTTTGCTTGTTGCTTTTTGCTTGGTGCTTGCTGGCTATCGGCTTTTCGTTGTTGTTGGGGTTGTTGGTTGCTGTTTGTTGATGTGGATTGCTGTTCGGGAGGTCTTGTTGACTTTGCAGCTCTGCTCGCGGCTGATGTACACAGCCGTGCATCAGAGACCGGAGCTCTTCGTGCAGAAGCCAAGCATGTGCGCGCAAACGGAGATGACATGCAGCTTAGTAGGGCTGGCCCGCATGATTCCATCCGATGTTACACGGACGTCTTCGCAAGCAAAAGCGATGCAATCACCAGGATTGCACAGATTTCGAGTTGCACAAGCCGTCCAGGACACTGATCGAAGACGGCTTGCAAGAGGACTTGCAAGGGCATCTGTGCAGCAGTCCTAAACGCGATTAGCAGAGCCAGGACTGGCTATTGACGGTTTGAGTCCCTGTCCTGTTCCTTTCCATGTCGTTTGGGCGACAAACCAAATTCTCTTTGTTAGCATGCGGGCATGTCAGCAGAGTTCCGAGCCATATGTTGCGATTGATCGCCAGGGCTGTCATGGCGGGGGCATTATTGGCAAACTCCGTGCTGTTGGCACATCAGCTGACCCGGAGCGATCGTGCACCATGATGTTGCTGCCGCAGACATGTAGCAGCCCCTTGTTCCAGTCCCCCGGCAGACGACGCTACGTTTTGGTGATGTGAACTGCGAGGACGGAGTGCTCCCAAGCAGATGTTCAGCCCCGGAATCTATAGCTTTGATGGAAAGTTCAACGATATCACTCAGGTCGTTTTGGATGTTCGGCTTGTTGTGATAGTTGGTACACCTGTGTGTACAGCATCGTGGCATGTGATAGGGTTCCGCTGCAAGCCATATGGCCATCTGCGACCATTGACATTGACGACCGCCTGCAATTTCAGACCTGGTTTGCCATGATTGAGATGACGCTGCGGGACGGCGCGTATACTACTCGTATGTCTGGACTGGTGTCATCCAGAAGCACATTGCCAAGTTGTTCTGGCTGCATCCAATCTGAGGTGCAGTCTCGTGTAGCGAGGCATGTGACGCGTGCCGCCCCTTTCAAGCACAATATGATCTGACATTTGTTCGCAGATGTTCGCATGCGCTCAGCTGTGGTGCTCATGTTTGATTCAGTTGTGGGATATGACAATGTGGAGCAACCAAGCATCTTGGAGAAGCATGCGGTCAACCGTTGGGAAACAAAAATGTTCACGGCGGACAGCCCAAGCATGGCGGGTATATGCGGGTATAGACCATGAGTGGACCACCGCGCCCAAGCATGTCCTCCGGTCTGGCTTCCAGCAAGTATATTCAGGCAGAGCAGTCATGGCCCCGGCTTTGTGAGGCCGCTAAGCCGGCAAGCCTGGCGCGGACTCGGCCGCGCTTCCGCAGGACCCGTTGAAGGACGCGCTTGTTCTTTCCATTTTTTCCAGGTTCTTTGAGAAGCAGACAGACGTCCGAAGCGGCACGAGTCGAACAACCTTCTGGGAGCACCACTCGTGATAGTCTGGACCAAACGAACGACGAACGATTTACGGGAAGATCATGCTGCGTGGTACTAGCACAGCGTGCGGCCTCAAGCCATGGGTTGTTGGCCGCTGTTCGCCGCGGTGCCTCCGGCACGATGTTGTTGCAGCTGCTGCCAAGCACAGCCTTTGATGTTGTGTTGAACAACCCAGTCATCATCGGGGTTGTGGACAATTAGGACAACGCGCGTTGGACATGCCTTTTGAAGAAAAGCGATTGTTTGTGGCATGTCGATACCTTGACGTGGGCGGTTGTTCTCGACAGTGGGGACCTTCGGGTGTTGTTGGCGACATACCTTTCTTCCTTCACCTTCGTAAAGCGAGGCGTAGCGGGGATAGCCTGTCATGCCGCAGTTTGGGCTGTAACCGACGGAACGCACCAGGAGGATGATGATATGTGATGATCATCATCACTATGATTGGCATCACCATATCAGGACCAACGCCATCACAGCCATCATCTTTAACTGTATGCCGACCTTAGCAGTTGCAGCGGCTTTGACTACTTGGAATGCAGGGCAATGGGACGGCCAAATTGTTTTGTCCTTGACTTTGTTGTTGTCGTTGCTCATTTCGATTGTAGTAGTAGTAGTAGTAGTTGTTGTTGTTGTGGTGGCGGTGATGAATGTGATGATGTTCAAGATCAATATCAAGAAGGAATTGCGGGTGGTGGTGGTGCTGCTGCTGATCGTGACGCTGGTGGTGCTGTTGTGCTTGCTGTCGTTGTCGATGTTGTTGATGGTGCATCGTTGTCGATGTTGTTGATGATGCGAAGCTGGTGGTGATGAACGACAGTTGTAATCATGATGATGGTGATAGACATGAACTTGGGGGTGCTAGGGTGATGACGGTGGTGATGGTGATAGTGGCCATGGCAATGATGGGCGGTGATCGTGGTGAATTTGAATATAGTCAGATTTAAACCAACGGTGCTGTAAAATTGCGAAGGATATCCAGCCCGCCAAGGTTGTGGGTCATGCTGTGGCTGCAAAAGCAGATGTTGTCCTTCCACGCCATGGCATCAAAAGCTGGCCGCGAGCATTTGGTCCCATTCATCACAGTGACTGTCGAACCACAAATTCCGCAAACATTTGGTATTCAAACGACAGCTAGCAGTCTCGAAGCCCCTATGAGCCTATGAGTGCTTCAATGTGCAATTTCACATGAAGATAGACATGCACAGGCTTCGCTCATGGTTTCCCGCGTTTTTTGCACGTGCAACTTCTTCGACTCTTTGACCAAAAAGTGTAATACAATTATGGCTTCAACAATTATTGCTTCAACTCTTGCTGTTTTTTCCTCGAAGCATTCTTATGTTTCATGTCAAGCTCACGGTTCCAATGCGCCAATCAATGGGGAATGCTTGGTTGCCGATGTGGTTCAGCGATATTCAGTGCCGCTTTCAAGGTGCAAGCCAACAGAAAGCACAAGGCTTGCAGGGCCGAGAATTCGCAAACGTGTTGTTCTTCCCTGAAGCGAACCAGGCCTGTGTGCACAGATGGTGTGGCTTTTCACTATTGCCGTCTTTGTGCGAAATCTGTCCGTTCCCTCAAATCACCAAGAGAAAGAAAACGAGGCCAACGAAAGAAATAATTCCCGTTGAAAAACAGAAAAGCCAACGAGAGAAAACATGAGAACCAGGGGAGCAAGACAGAGAGAGCCAGCTGTTTGCTCAAGTCGTTTGCAACAGAGACTGAACAACATAACATGCAACACGAGACAAATAAGTTTCTCATGCCTATACAGACGGATGGGAAACGAACGGGAACAGTAACGTGCGAGGGAATGGTAGCAAATGAACAGATTTACGGGAGGCTGAATGAGAAGCGAAATGGGAAAGGCAAGGAGTGTCACAGATAAAGGGAAAGACATACAAGATATAGTGGAACAGAAAGGCAGACACATGTTTGCAGGTTGGGAGAAGTGGAATCCCACAATTGAGTTGCGTTTGATTATTGATTTCAAGACAAAGAAGATTTCGATAAATGTCCTTGGTGTCTGCTACGACTATGAATTCTTTCCGTGAAAGGGAGAAAGGAAGACGAGGAGAGAGAAGGGCGAAAATTGGAAGGGACAAGGGAGGTTGGGAACCAGAGTGGGGAAGACAGAATGCAGCAGGGAAACGTGAGAGTCAGAGGGGAGAAGGTGGAGATTGGTGAATGATGCGTCGAGGATGTTTGACATGGCTCTTGTATATCGCATTCTGCGGTGCTCGGGCTCAGCTGGAACCACTTGCCGCCTTCTTGGTGGCTGCCTCTCCAGCGAGGCTGCACACTTTGCGGACCTGTCTGTGCGAGTTGATTTGTGCCAGTGCGCCCCCTAGGCCATGTCGTACATCCCAGCAGGGCGACCAGAGGGTGGGTGGCATGGCACAAAGTTGGCATTGAAGCCATTGAAGTGTGGCGATTCCAGCTGTTAACAGCCTGTGCCGACATGGCAGGCTGCGCGATATTTGGGTTTCGGGCAAGGCATGAACATGCAGCATGCTTCTTGACACTTGGGGGCAGGGGCACGGATCTTCAAAGAGTCCACAGGTTGGCGATTCACGTGCCAGATGTTTGGCGACATCATTGCATCAGAAAGGACACGAGGTGGGACCTTTCCTTTATCGCAATTAGCTGGACTATGTCCAGTGCTCCAAGCGCATTTCGTCCAATCCGACGAGCATTCCTCGAGAGCCAAGGGACTACCCTGCTCCCAGTGAGCAGTGTCGTCCATTGCAGAGCGATAGGTGACCCTCATCGGCGTGAAGAAGTCCAGCGAGGCTCCAATTGCCTCCTGGGGAGAGGCCGTCAGCAGTGGAACGCAGTGAAACTGTGCATGTTGTCCCCTTTCTGGCGAGCTGCGACAGGTCATTACAGAGCAGCCGAGAAAGAGCATCCGGATGCAGGCCATGGACAGCAGACAGCATAGCGCCCGCTGTGATGTCGTTTGTGAAGCTGGTAGAGCAGCGTTATGCGATCCTGTGCCTGGATGGAAGACCCAGTCTCTGAATGCACTCCGTGGAGAATGGAGAATCTTGCAGGGTAGAGAATCTTGCAGGGGAGACCGTGCCAATCTATATTCGTCATGACGTCCTATTGGCAGAGAACCATGTTCTCGCTTTGCATGACGGCAGGGAAGCGAGAGCGCCAAGAAAGCACGCAGTGACGTGGCAAAGAAGTAGAATAAAGAAGCAACATCTATACGTTTCTATGCTCGGCCTTGGAAGGTTGCAGGTCAGAGAAACAGTTCCGTGTGACATGCCAAAGCTGTTTCACGGTACGGCTGTACAGATAAGGTCGCTCAAGCATGCACAGGCATATTCCGAGTTGCGTAGGTGCCAAAAGGCAGCCCGTTCGATTCCAACTGACAACTGCATGAACCCCTTCCCATCCAGTCTCCTCTGGGCAGATCTGACACCTCAGATCCGAAGTCTCAGCTTTCCGGCTCTGCTCAGCGTTGGATTGCAAGACATCTGATTCCCAAGTGGCTACTGCAATCGCAATCCTTGTTAACACCTCAAGCCGTGATGCCTCATTGACTGAGCAGGACAGCGCGCGTTTTGTGCAGATCCATTACCTCTTTGGTACTGATCCGCCATGCTCGAAATTGCTTGAGACAAGCTTCGGCGAGTGTAGCCAGCCCAGCTGTGTCACGTTGTGTGCGTCTGTCTGCCCACTCTTATTGTTGCAGGTGATTCATGCAGGCCGTGTCTTGAACACATGCAATATTACAGCATGGCATGAGATCGTTGTCGTGTTCGAAGGGGGGATTGCAAATTTAAGGCCTCAGGAATACACTTTGTGCCAAGGCGGTTGCGAGCCCAACATGGGTTGGATAATCGCCACCAGGCTCGGCGAATCTTGCAGCGATCCAGCCGCGAAATTTTCAATCAAGACTTGCCTTTCGCCCGCATGCACTGTCACAGGAATTTGGCAAAGGGCGCACGATCCAAGGGCAAACGAGTTTGCCTGCATCGCTTGCATGGGAGACAGCGAGTGCATGAAGCTCATGTTGGATGGCGTGAACTCTTGCTACTGGTTGACAGGATTAACTGGAATAATCCATGCCATCGTTTGCAAAACACCACCCTGGATCCAAAATTTCGAGCCCCAGGATCCAGCACCAAAAGTTAAAAGGTGTGTTTCTTAGTTTAGGGCCTCCGGCTTTGGGCTTGGAGTTTGGGTTCTGCAGGCATGCTTTCAGGCCTGCCCATCTGAAGCCACCCTTGGTCTTGAAAAGGCCGGACAATGTTTTTTTTTTCTTCGGGATTTCTATTGGGGAAGGGGGATGAAGCCGCAGTGAGACAGAGTCTCGTGGCTTTGATAGTGGCTTTAGTGGAAGCAAGCTGGATTAAACTGGCCAGTACCCAGGACACGCTTTCAGGACCAAGCCAGGAACTTTCCCGAGCAATCAGGAAGTGCAACGGTAAATTCAGGCACCAGAACTCAGGAACCAGGCCCGCGAATTCCAGAATCGAGCCAGCGCCATTCAGGGGTTGAAGGTGTTTGTTGGGTTGACGGTTCACAGGCTTTACGGTTCAGGGTTCGGGGTTCTCTTGAGGATTTGAAGTGTTTTAGGGTTTAGGGCCTTGAAATTGTTTCGGGTTCTCGGTTTGCAGTCCGCGAATCGGGTTGCTGAGTACTGGCGGTTCCCGAATTTTGGCGCTCGAATTTCGTGACTCCGTTCCCGAATCTGGTTCCCGAATTTCCCAGCAGCGACAGGTGCGACACCAGCAACCCGAGTATGTCTGCATACATGGTTCGATATTCAACATCCGCTTTGCCAGGCGTCCCTTGAATGGCATCTCACATTCCCTTCGAGTGAAAATGGTTGGGGCTCAAGTCCGCCGGAGTGCACTCCAAGCCACGGACTATTGTTGCTTTCTGCTGGGACCAGGCTGTGGGAGGTCTTGCAAGATGCCTTGTGCTTGCAGTGGGGCGGTCCGCTGCAGAATGCCTTAGATGCAGCCGGCAGGAGCATCACAGACACGACGCAACCAAAAGGCGTCAAAACCTCACATGAGTTCCGGCAGAAGCCCGCAGCTTACGGAATGAAAGACACAAAGGAAGAGAGGAAAACAAGAAGGTGGAAGTGATTGGAAGTGCAGGACACCACCGAAGGTAATTTTGAAGAAGAAGTTAGATGAGCGCATTGTTTTGAATTGTTGATTACTGCCCTGCTTTGGTTCTTTGCTCTGGTTTCCACTGCTACCTGCACGTCATAAATCTGACAGCCTGTGCAAGTAGAAGGGCACTGCAACGCTAGGGGTTGACCCAAGTCGTAGCGTCTTGCGGAAGTTGTTGCGTGTTGACATGGGGGAACCAGTGCTGCGGCCACTACGGCCACTACGAGGGGAGGGTTAAACTCGCATCAATCTTGTTGAGGAAATACACATCTTTTTCTGCGTTGACATTGGGGTTAAGCAATCCGGGCCCGGCCTGGCATACTAGCATACATCCAAACATCAACCGTTGCAGGGTTCTCGCGCGGGCCTGTGCATGGGGACACAGTGCAAACGCTCATAAGGCAACTCGCTAGAAGTCGTCTCGAACCGGCAAGCACATGGGGATTCCGAGGTAATGCTCGGGAGCCTGTCAGTTGTCTACCGACATGCAAAACCCAGCTAACGCCGTTCCTGACCACTGCCTCGCGCGGACCTTGCGCAACCTCGCACGGCCTCGCGCAGGGCCAAGTCTACACCCCTTTATAAAGCTCCAGGTTTTGGCCCTCCAGCTACCTAATCAAAACATGCCCCGGCCAGGCTGCAGTCCTGGCAGACAAACCTTGGGGGGTAGTAAACCGACTTGTGTGTCTTGAGCAGGTGCTTCTGCTCAAATTGGCTCAAATCGAATGTCTACATGGGGAATAGCTTGGTTACCATGTGTTTCTGTCTACTGGATGCAACTGCTACTGCTGCAACGTTGAAAATCCTTCTTGAAACCTGCTCCTGCTTTTGAGGGGCGCGTGTCAATGGGGCTTCCAATGTTCTCGCATGTTATGATCTACGAAAAGGTTGCAGTTTGCCAGCGCGTGGGACTGATTTTTGTTGTTGTGAGGTTTCGCCCGAACAGGTTTGCAACACAGCGTGTACTTGGGCATTCCCTACGTGCAACGACTTCTGGGGCCCCTGCCGCGACGTCACTTTATGCAGTGTGACCATGCGGTGCCGCGACTTCTCGAATGCTGCCGCGACATGAGTTTACCCCTATTACCTTGCCATGACTAGAGAGAAGGGCAGGGTCAGCGTCGTGAGCTCCACGACATGCTGTCAGTAGCAATCTCGGGCAAGTTTGTTACGGTTTCTTGAAGGAGCATTGCGTATTGGAGGAGAAAGTCTTATCTTGCAATGGGCAGATCCTCATCCGGATTGTGTGTCAAACCCCCATCAGCTGGTGCGCCTGCCAGATCTACCACAAAGTTTTCGGACCTTCCCACAAGCAATGGAAAATGATGAAGGACACTTGACATGCACTTTGCGCGTGGCCGGTCAGCCGTTAGGGCTGTTGTTGTAAATCTGGCGCTTCTAAGGACATGCTGAACATCTTGGTCCGGGAGCGCAGATGTTTGTGGCAGCAAGTACTCAGAAACGTCAGGAGTGCTGGCATGAGCTCAAGTCAGTGTAGCAGTGTCGTGAGGACCAGAAGATGGAAACATCATTGGCCCGAGCCAAGGAGCTGCAGCAATATGCAGAGGAGATTCGGACCACGCATTTACCAACTGGCTTAATTGGAGCAGCACCGAGTGCAAGTGGCTAACATGGTCCGTGTTTTGATGTGGGCTGTTGTGTCTCGCTTATCCTGCAATATACCTTCCGAGGGTTGTATCTAAGTTGGGAGAAGAACAAAATTGATTTGGTAAGCTCTCGCAGGGCCAGCTTCCTGTTGGGTTGCATTGCCGCAGCGAGTCGACATTGTGCAAGCAGGAAATAGTCTTCCTTGCCAAGAAAAATTCTCCGTACCATGATGGGCTTGCTCCGTCCTCAGCGGAGCACGGGTTTGGCGTGACAACGCAGGCCGCAGGCATGCCTGCTGTAATTCTATATTCCGGAGGTTGCGGGCACGGTTTCAGGTTGGGCGTTGGGGCAGGTCGGAATCCCTGTCGGTGCTGACACGCATTCCTGTGCTCCTTACTACTTCAATACTCCTCTCATCTGGGTGTCTGCTCAGGTGGAAAGCATGTTGACCTCTCCAGAGGCTCCGGCGGCGAAACAAGAGAGTGTGCATGAACAAATTGACATGAAGCATGATTGAAATCCCGGCAGTCTCGAGAAGACTTGCTTAATGATTGAGGCCAGAAGGATACTCTATGAGCGGATGCTTCCGCGCTATCAGGCCCAAGCAAGACGGCATGTATCGACATCAATTTCATGCTGATTTCAAGCACCATCATCGGAGAACCTGAGCTGCGCATGCACAGTCAAGCATGACCGAAGGATGCAAGTGGTGTATTGTGCAAGGATCGACACTTTCACTTTTCTCGAGTGCTGAACCAGTGGAGGCTCGAGGCTTTTCATTGCTGAGCGTGTCAAGCCGAAACTGTTATCGCTTGGTGCAATGTGATTTTGAAGCAGGCTGCATCCGTCTCTGTACGTCGACAGGTACAGAGAGCGAGACACGACACCGATGGCTATCATCGAGTGCCCACCAGCAACAGACATGGGATGCTCTGCCTGGTGAGGGTCAGTCCCCGTGCAGACATTTCTGGAAGTGTTGTGGCCGTCGGTTGCGGTGTGCAAGTGTGGGCCAGCCTCGGCATCTATAGGCTTCTGTCGGTAGGGATGCTTTGGATGAACCTCCGGGTGGGCTTTTGGTGGAAAGAAAGAAGCTCACCACTAGTTCCGCGGATCGCTCATCGCTCCTTCTAAATTCGTGGCGGCTGGGTCTCAGAAGCCTCGCCATTTCTGCCACGTTGATCTGGTTTATTCTAGGCTTATCAGGTCCCTGTAGGCAGCAGATTGGGTGCCAATCAAAAGCTGCTCAGTGGAGTGCTGTTTTGCTCCACCGAGTTCTGTTCCGGAAAGCCACAGACTCTTCTTTTCGTTTGCGAGAACACTGCGAAGGAGTACAATCCGGCCCGCACTTGAGCTTGGAGTCCTCATGATGGCCAAGCCTTTGCAAAATGGAAGGGGTAATGTCGCATCTGCGATCCCGGCGGCCTTTTTTTCGGGTAGGGCTTCTTGCGTCGGGTGCAAACTGTGCATCTGCTTGCATGAGGATTTCGGGTAGCCGAGCTCAAGACTGAAGTATGTGTGTTGTTTTGCGGGCCTCCAAGGCATTAGTTTGGTAAGTTTTTCGGAACCGTTCCTGACCAGACGTTGGTGTTGCTCTCTGTCGCCAACGCAACCACGGTGCCAACCAAGCAGCGCATCCAATGCCGGATGGTCGGTCTCTAGCCGAAGTATAAACTCAGACAATCGGCATCGACTCCGGTCTTACTCCGGTGCGTTCATCCATATTCGGCCATTCGTCCGCGAGGTATGTCGACCGACCTGGTGAGCTGCGTCCTGCGAATCCCGTGGGGGCGGCCGGTGACTCGAAGCTCGTGTTCTGCATGTCCCAAGGTCCCAAACATTAAAGCTTAGTGCATGGAAACTGCCCAGGCAAGGAAGCAGCACGTGGCGATGGAGCCTGCAACTTAACTTTCCTTCCCTAACTTTTAAGCGGTCGTCAGCTCAGAAGCACCGGAAAGGGACTCGAAGGGCTGACACGTAACATGCTGACTTCCAGGATGATGATTGGCCGCACTACACAGATGTGCTTATGCACTTAGCTTAGGTTCCTGCAAACTCGAAGAGGCAGGCGCAAGCACCTGGGCGAGATGCAGAGGACACTTCTGTCCAGTGAAAACCTGTTGCTGCGGCGGCTTGATCATCTTGCTACGGTTTCTGTGGTTTCTTCAACCGAAAGCTGATCCAGCTCGCCCTCCGAAGTGATTGTAGGATGATACAGAACAAGCACTCGCCTCCACTTGATGCTGCTTGGCATGTTTCATCATCTTTCCTCTAGCACAGGACAAGGTGGGAGGTCATGAGAGGATAGCATTGTGACCCGTGTGTGGGTTTCTTTTCACACAAATGCTTTTGTGTGAGCACGCTGGACTCGTGCAAGTCTTGCACTGAAAAAGTTGGATCTGCCATGATCGGCAGAGTTTTCCCGGCAATCGGGGATCCGTTGCAGTGGCGGGCGATTTCATAGCTTCAAGGAACGACTTGCAGGTAAGATGGCAGGGTCTAGGTTCCACAATTTGCACAAGACCAAAATTGTCCAAACCTCTCGCACAAGCTCCAAGCCTCTCGGCACTCGAAGCGCTCAACAAGTCAACAAGCATGTGACACTGCCGTGTGTGGAGTCAGGACCCTGAGCTTCGTTGGGCTTCATGAGGATCCGTTGTCGTTCGCTGTCTCGGATCCTCCTTTTGGTGGTAAAGTTTTGATGCTGATGCCTCGCAACCGAAGACAACTTTGGCACTGTTCCCTCGTGCCTGTGACATCCTGTGACAGGCTATTGTGGTTGGAAACCTTTGCCACGAGCAAGCAGCACAGGTATGGTGCTGCTAGCTCTTTGAAGTGGAATCATGAGTTTGTTCCGATTCTACACACCTCCGATGTAAGCTGAAACCCTAAAGCTCCTGCCCGAAACCCAAGAATCCACGGAACACTTAACTATTGGGGTTGGACCAGCCCGCATCATGAGCATCTGTGGCCCCTGATGCCAACGCTGCCACGCTCCTACAGCGAGTTAAAAAAGCGCAACCTACCTCCGTCGCAAGGGCGGGCCGGGTCGGCGGTGGTGGTTGCAGTCGGCTTGTTCGGAGCGCAAATCGCCTGGGCGAGAGAAATTGTTTGGCCGCACCAGGTGAGGCCTTCTTCGATCTTTCTCGGGGGTGGAGAAGAAAGCCAACGAGCGGGGGCTGCAATACATTCGCTAAAAGAAAAAAGCCCTCCCTTTGAGGAGGTCATCTAGCTTGCGTTGAGCTCTCAACTAACGAAACACTGTTTTGGAAAACCACAATGAATTTGGTGCCGAAGGGGCTTTAGGTCGAACTGCAATGATGCGGAGAGAGCTGGACATTGTACCAACCTCCTTGCGCCCTCCCCCTGCAGGTCTCAGGGCATCGGTGGATTCTGTGGAGATCTCCTCCTAATGCTATACTTGTGCTAGCAGCTGAGACGCTGCGCAGCTTTTCTGAGGCAGCTGTTCTGGAGCGCTGCCGTTTCGAGTGCTCGAAGTACGAGGCTGGGGCCGTCGACATGGAACGATCCAAGCAAGGTTCTTATTTTGCTGAGCCTAATCCAGGGCAAAAGCGGGCATCCTTGGAGCCCCAAGGAGGCCGGTCGGAACCGAGAAGCGGTTTTGTTCACTCGCACAACACAGGTTTGCTTTCAGATTGCAATGCGGCACTTGCCAGGTCATCGATGTGGAATGATACGGCGGGACACGCTCGGACAATCAATATTCGTAAAGAAAATCTTGGATCCTTGCAAAGGCAAACAAATATCGACCTCCCCTCCTCCATCTTCCAACAATAATACCGGAGGGTTGTGTTAAGTCGTATTTTTGGACACTGAGGGGAAGCCATTCTGAACAAGTCCCGGCAGTCGGTACAGCGACACAGCTAACTCGCATCACGTCTATTGGATCCCACCCCACACTGGGGAAACACCCGGGCGGGTCGCATCACTGAGTGTCTACTTGGGGATTCGTGATCACGTTGAATCGTTTGATTACTGAAGCTGAATTTACAGCAGTTTACATGGAGACTTGTTCTTCCTGTATCACTGGGTGCTTGGTGGGTTTCGGAAAAATCGAGCGTCTACATGGGGAATGGCTGGTTTTGATTTGCTACTTGATGCGATGTCGCTGATGTGTTTCTGGAACGGGTGCTTGCCAAATCGAGCATCTACGTGGGGAATGGCTGGTTTTGACGTTTGCTGCGATTAGACAGCTGTGTTCCGGATACTAATTTCTTAAGAAAGCCTGCGCGGCACTCGACTTCCTAAGTTGGTTGATGTCTGTGCCAGGAATGTTCTAGGAAGCGAGTGGCTATGGGGAAAACGATATATATATATATTTATGGGGTGACTTCAAACGCCTTGGTATAATTTCACACAAGAACCATACGATTTCGCGACGTTATACGCCCTGGGGCGATGTAATGCTATCTTTCTATTAATTAGAATTATATAGAATCTTATTGCTATTTCGCGACTAAAAAGACGACTCTGATTATTCTTATTACTACGATTTCGATTACGATTCCGACTATAACTATAATACATATTCTCGTTTTGCTTAGGGTCTGAGATGGTGTCTCTCGGCAGCCCACATTGAGAGGGTCCGATATGGTGAGAGGATTATATCCGACCCTAGCCATGTGTATGTTCGACCTTGATTATATATGTGTATATGTATGATACGGTACGAACTAAGAAGACATTGTTTTGCATCTCCAATTCTCGATATTAGTTCCCAGACATTCCTAAACCAGGTGTAAGTGACGTTGGCTTGAGGAGTTTAGGATTTAGGGTGTAGGGTTTAGGGATTTAGCTGCATCTGGTGGAAATACAGTTGAAACCCCAAACTACACGACAATAGACACACACAAACAAAATAGATACGCTTTGCCGCTTGGATGGAAGGTTTACAGCCATCGTTTGTTTTTAATCCTAACGAGGGAATTCTGTCGTTCGAATTGAGAATACACGGATCTTGAAAACGGATTACTAGGCCGCCAAGGCCAGGGTCGAATATCCTTATAAATTATGATATAGGCTATTAACGAGCATATCCGACCCCACAAATAGAGTCGGCTATGTTGGATCTAAGAGGGCCTTAAGGACATCATGAGCCTTATAATACGGATATATATTATTATTACCGATTTTAAATCTAGAAATATATTTTTATTTTTCATGGAATTTATATTCCAAAACTTAAATTCCTAAATTTTGAACTTTAAGCCTTAAATTCCTAAATTCTAAATTCTCGACTACGCGGGACTCCAAACTTTAATAATTGATATTTTTCTTCGAGAAAAAATATATTTCTCTTTCTTTCTTTTTTATTTCTCTTTTTTATTACACTTCTCTCTTACAGAAATTATGTTGCTATCGTTGCGAAGTCGAAATCGGTAGTCCGATTATAATATGTCTTATTTGATGGCTAAAAAAGATTATTTTGGAGGTTAATATTCTCGAAATCGTCTAATTCGTATATGTTGTCGACGTATTCCGGCTCGCACATACTATTGGTGGGCTCTACCTTTATCTTGCCGGGGATTGGAGGTCCGGCTTCTTTTATAGCCGCGGGTTATATTAGTTTTTTAAACTATATCTTTGGATTTATTGATATTATTACGATATCTTTAGATTAGCCTTAGATATTCTCATTTCTGGGGCGAATTACGGATGACTCGCCACTTGTAGCCTTACCTCTAAGCCTAGATCCCGTAATGATTGCTCTTTATTATTTCTTGGATATTCCTTTAAGACAAAAACTGCGAACCCATACGCCCGCAAAATGATCGGTCTCTTGTAACTCTGCGCTCGCTTTGGGGTGCCCACGACGCTTTTACAATAGAGGTCTTCTTTCGTCTTTTACCTATTAACATGACGATTACTCCTGACCTTTTCCGGGACTTCGGACGAATACTTTCTCTTCTACCTCCTGCCGGCCTTGCCGCCTTGTCTCAAAAAAGGATTCTCGTTAGTAGAGGCTCGAGCGGCTGGTCCCATCCATATTAAATGGGCCTCGTGCAGAATCTATTCGTTAAACGGTCTCCCTTTTGTTCTTGGTCTTGCCTGCCGGTCTGTCGTCCTTGCCACTATGTCGTTTCAAAACGAAGACCTGGAATGCACTTTTATTAACGATTTCTTTAAATATATTATTGGAATGGAAGGTTGTCACGGTATGGATTTGACCCAGCCTGTCTATATAATATCTTCGCGACCTCTTATATCTCCCGGCTTTTGTATGCCTTTACTAAGAGGTTAGGCCCTATTAAATTTGCCAGCTTCTACGATAGTAATATCACGGCATGGATCATTATAAAGGGGCGCTCTTCTTTACGCGGCCTCTTTTTTGTATTCAAATAAATAATTGATATTAATATAGAATTCGACATACTTCACGATTTGGCCTTCTGCCTTACCCGTTTCATACCGGCTGACTATCCCATCCGGGATATTGAAATACTTGAGCCCCTTTCCGAGCGTATATCCGACTCTCTTGTCCCTTGACGCCCTTCGGGCCCTCGTTGGATTATCTCTCATATGCTGCGCTCTGGTTACCATAACGTTGGGCGTTCCTTTCGCATTTTCGTATCTTTTCCTCTGGAGTTTGATCGATTCCTTGGCTTTCCCATTGAGGGTCTTGTCGGTCTCTTCAAGTCCTCGTGATATTATCTCTGTTATCTTATTACCTTGTTCGCTGCTGGTCACCAGATATTTATGGTCGTGAGTTCTTCCGGACAGGTCGCCCCTTCTCCCATTATAACGAGCTCATCAATGCCTATTCGGCGAAGATACCAAAATTAAGGCGTCTACTACAATCTGCCTGGGATCTTACTTTCTCCTGGGAGCGTATTATATCTGGGCGATATCGCACGACCATACCTTGATAGATCCT